TAACCTAAATCTGAATATCAATTTTTTCAAGGTAAATACAAGATTCTCTAGAGTATTTATTTAACACAGATTTTAGATATTTATAAATTTTTCTGAACAGTTTTTAAACTCAGAACATTTTCATATCTAATTGAAAACTGTGATAAAATCTTGTTTAATAAAAATTAAATACAACTTTGCTCATGAGCAAGAAAATCCTTCATTTATTATAAAAACAGAAAGAAAAAACATCTTTAATTATTTTAATTGTCTCCGTTAAAAAAATTCATTACATGTTAAAAAAAGAATTACTCAGTTTTTATTTGAGAGTGATATTTATCTTAGAAAAAATACAAAGGAAAGAGAGGTTAATTAGATGTTTGTTTTTCTTTAGTTTAAACCACTTTTTTAAAGGCTTTTTACTTTAAAGCTAAAAGAAAATAAACAAAAGTGTGATTTTAAATGTTTTTTTTTTCTTTTTACGTAAGTCTTTACCATCAGTTGTGAGAAGAATGCTTAGAAAAACTGAGATGAAAGTAAATCCCTAAAAATAGAAAAACATTTAGATGTAAAATAATTAAAAAGAGTCAGAGGAAAAAAGTAAACTCTAAGAGTGCTAATTAAAAACATAGTATATACAGTGATCAATTTTCAAAGATATATTAATTAAATAATAAAAAAAGTATTAATATAAAAACAGGTAAAATTAATGAGATTGTGGTAACTTAAAAAAATGGATTCATAATAGATCGATCGTGTTTTCGGGTTTTTTACTAAAGACCATTTGAGAAAACAGGTCGAAGCAGATTAAATCTGAAAGGATTCGAAAACGTTACGTTGGCTTGATTGATTGATTGATTATTAACGTCGCACTGTTTAGCTACACGAGGGCTTTTGGCGACGGACCAAGTAATTTTGAACCATGGTCAAGTGACGTGGACGGGGACGTTTCAGCTCTCGACAGATTTAACGTGCATCGCTGCCCTACACGGCGGGTCTTTAGTGGTAATGGGCTCGAACTCGTGACAAGGCAAGCCACGGTCCGATGCCTATACCACTCGGCTACCGCGGCCACACGTTACGTTGGCATGGCATGGATGTGGAGAATGAAAATACAGTGAA